CTTGAACTTGAACTTGAACCTTGAACTTGAAGTAGAACTAGACATGATGTACATAGATAAAGCTGGCACGGTAAAACAGGGAACATGAACATGTGGAAAATAAACAGAACATGAACAAACATGACCCAGGAACCCTGACAGATATAGCTAAATTATGTCTAAAGTTAAATTTAACAATGTAGTGTCACAGAGTCAATGCTTGCACATTCTAGCATACACAGTAAAGGAGAAATCCAAACTTTCTTTATATGTTCTCACTTTTATATTTTATTTAATATATTTATATAAATGTGTATTCACCATATGTATTTTTCTATTGCATGTGGAAAATGTTTTTTTATGATCGAGTGCCACGGCCCATTATAACTTTTTTTGTGTTCATCTCTGGTCTCAACAGGATGATGTAACATTTGGGCCCAAACAGTGCGACCAACAGGCCAAAGCTTGAGGCCAAGATGGCAAATACCTCCACTGCATCTGCATGGTTTCCAGGTGAGCTGATATAAGCAGGAACGAAGGCCACCCACACAGCACAGAATATCAGCATGCTGAATGTGATGAGCTTGGCCTCATTAAAACTATCAGGGAGATTCCTTGCCAGGAAAGCAATTAAAAAACTGAGGAAAGCCAGCATGCCAATATAACCCAATAACACTCCAAAACCAACACTAGACCCAACTGAACACTCATAAATGATCTTATCATTGTGGTATTGGGTGCTTTTATTTGGAGTAGGAGAAGCAGAAACAAGCCAGGCAGTGCAGATGACTACTTGAATAGATGTAAGAAACAGAATTGTTCCTCTTTGCTGCATAGCACCAAACCACTTCAGACTGGCTCCCCCTCCTGGCTTGGAGGCTTTGAAAACAGCCAGAACAACCATGGTTTTTACCAGGATGCATGAGACACACAGCACAAAGCTGATCCCAAATGCTGCATGCCTGAGTTGGCATGTCCAAAGCCTGGGTCGTCCAATGAACAGCAGTGAACACAGGAAACATAACTTAAGTGACAGCAATAGCTGGAAACTGAGTTCCGAATTGTTGGCAAGTACTATAGGTGTTCTGCGATGGTAGAAAAAGATCCCTATAACAACAGCACATATAATTGTTCCCAGCAAAGCGGTTGCTGTTAAACAAAATCCCAGAGGCTCATCGTAGGAGAGAAACTCTGTCTTCTTGGGAACACAGTGGTCACGCTGATGGTTTGACCAAAAATCCTCTGGACAACTGGTACACTCCAAGGAATCTGACAATAAAAGCTAAGATGGTGAAATGCATTTTACATTTAATATAAATTAAATAAAATATGCAAAGACAAGCACTTACTGCTCTTATTGTTTATTTTTCCCTCAGAGCAAGGGATGCAGTCGAAACAGCATTTGGGTTCTCCCTTCCGTCTCACCATGTGGGTACCAGGAGGACAGCTCTCACTACATACTGATCGACCTGGCTGTTAGACGAAATTAATATTACTTGCTAGAATTACATATATTGTGCACATGAGAAAAATGAAAAATATACATATGGGAAAAGATAAAAGGATAGAAAAACCATTTTAAACCTTTTTGGATTCAAAGTTCCAGAAGATTTTATCTTCATCAAGTATGAGTTCTTCACCTTTGAAAGCTGACCTCTTAACTTCACCAACATTCTGAACTTTAGTGCTTCCATCAGGGAGCCACAACCAGTTCATCACATCATAAATTGGCACCACATCACCATTCTCATCAAATGACACTTGATCACCAAATGCAGTGGTGAAGTTTACCCTTTCCAAGTAATAAACAAGCTGTTAAAAACAGATGTATAAGAATTAAATTACTTTTAACAATGTAAACTGTGGCCCTGCTGTTCAGTAGTCAAATATTAGAGCTATTGGCAGCATCTCTGCTGGGGACAGGAAGAGACTGAACAGGGTGATCCGAAGGGCCAGCTCTGTTCTTGGATGCCCTCTGGACCCAGTGGAGGTGGTGAGTGACAGGAGAATGGCGGCTAAGCTGTCATCCCTGTTGGACAACATCTCCCACCCCATGCAGCAGACTGTGACAGCACTGAGCAGCTCCTTCAGTGGGAGACTGCGGCACCCACGGTGTGGGACGGAGAGATTTCGCAGGTCTTTCCTCCCCACTGCTGTCAGACTCCACAACAAAGACTTTAACTGAACAAACACACACATCCACACATGTGCAATAACACTAAGTGCAATAATCTTTTCTGGCATCGTTGTATTTTTACTCAGTTGTATATAGCATTTGTATTCTATTTTTATCTCATTGTATATTTTTATTCTATTTTATTCTACTGTATATAGTATTTTATTTTATTCTATTCTGTACAGCTGTGTACTGTATTTATTCTTATTGTATTCTAATTTTTGCGTCATAACTTTTGCACTGTCCACTTCCTGCTGTGACAAAACAAATTTCCCACGTGTGGGACTAATAAAGGTTATCTTATCTTATCTTATCTTATTAAATTTGAATATAGGAATTCATTGCTTTTAAACAAGGCCTATAGTAATGCGACATACTTATCTCTGATCTAATTACAGTAACCAATACTTTTGCTCAGGAGAAAATATAATCCTCAATCCAGCTTTTTCATAGTTAATTTTATAGCACTGCATTTTGCCTTACAGGGTAAATTCTTTTCTAAATGTAATTACAGAACAATCAATTTAGACAAAAAGTGTAACCTGATATCACACCTGCCATGGCTCCAGTGTTTGTAATGTGGCACAGCTGTTCCCACTGAAAGGTCCTCTTCCAGGCTTGCATTGCAGCATCTCATCAAGGGAATATGCCAGAGCATAAACAGCTTTGTACACATTATACTCAGGCCGGAGGTCGGAAACGTCCAAGAACTCATTGTTCACATTTTCCAAATCTTCCTGTCCAGTGCATAATATACCACCCCCTTCCACCCAGCCTGCTGGAGCTGGTTCAAATCTGCACTTAAATGTGAATTCCCAAAATTGATTCACCTGAAATATTATGAAAACTATTTTAGATGTTATACATAATAAAATATGCAATTCCTGCAAATACCACTGTAAATAGTTTAACCCTCACCATGCTATTTCCATAGCTATTGTTGTGATGCAAGTCAGGACGTATTTGTAACAGGAATTCCCTGAGCCCTGTTATTTCTCCTCGACGAATAGCGATGCCCAGTGTACCACCCAGGTATGGCATGAGGTGAGGTGTTTGGAGCACAACAGCAGTTGTCCAGGCTTCACTGGCCATCCACTGTAGGCCTGTTACATTTTGCCTCACGACCTGTGCATTATGTTTGACCAAATGTACAAACTCATATTGTAAGTAGCAACTAATTTAGTAACATTATGAATTCTTTATTACTAGTTTTCTCTTCTCAATCAATATATAAAGACATAATGCATCTGTTACACAGTGTAGTGATGCAAATCTACATAGCTAGTAAAAATTTAAAACTTTTGAATTCAAACCTCTTCCATAAGGTTTATCATGTGACTCTCATGTGCAAATACAATGACAACTCGAGCTGTGGATTTTTTCATCACATTTACAATCCTCCTGAGTTCATCTGTTTCTTTGTGCAAGGACAAAATTTCAGTGTAAGCCAGGCAACCTTCACCAGACTGACTTAACTCAGACTGGAAGGATCTTGCTGCATGGAGTCCATAGTCATCATCACTGACAAGCAGACCTGCCCAAGTCCAGCCAAAATGTTTTAAAATCTGAATCAAAGCATGGACCTAAGTGAATACAGATTAAAACATGAATGCATAGACAAGACAAAACTTAGTTATTCATTAGTTACTGATGACTGTTTATAATTGTGCTGATCGATTTTCACCTGGAAAGCATCACTTGGGATCGTCCTAAAGAAGGATGGATACTTTTTACGGTCACTCAGGCAGGAACATGTGGCAAAATAACTCACCTGTGAAAGATACAGACTGTATATTGTAGAAATATTCAAAGCCTTGACTGCCTCCTTACATTTTTTTAAGCTTCAATCTGGTCATTAAATTTACAATTAGGTCTATATATTTATATTAAATATAACCAAAAATAATATTTCATGGTTAAACTGGAAACTTACCATAGGTATGCTGTACAAACCTAAGACAGTGGAGATGGCAATTGAGCGTGTAGAGGATGAATCACCCACAATCCCTATGACTGGAGGATTTCCAACACATGTATTATGTAATATTATTTGATCCTCTTGACCACTGGCTAATGACAGTGCTGCACGGAATCCAATTCCAAGTTCAACGCAGTTATCATAAAGAGTGAATCCCAGAGTCACATTAGGCAATAGGTTGGAGTTTCTGTTGATTTCATCAATTGCAAAGGCCATGGTTTTTGCCTGCCTAAATCCTAGAACATCAAAACTAACAAAAAAACACAGTCTGCTATTGAAAAATATAGCAGTATACCTGGAAAACATTTTGCAACCATACACGTTTTGCAACTACTCAAATGAAAAGAACAGAAACAACTAAAGTAACATGCTAAATGACAAAAATAAAGAAAGTTCATATTGCAAGATGTGTGTATTTGTTCTTAATGCCACTGTTGGCAGTGATTTCCCAAAGTCTTTTGTGCTGTTTCACTGTCATACTTACCCATGGCAAGTAGGCTGTTGTGGCTCTGAGGTAAATGACAGGTCAGGGAAGATTGAAAAGAAGTGAACTTCAAACAGTCCTCCTAGGATCAGATCTCCACTTTTTTGCATGCTATTTAGATGAAACTGTCCACGTGAGTGGCAGGAGGACGAAGACAGAGAAGAGGCTGCAGTAAAAGAAAAGTAACAATACATCAAAATGAACAAGAGCAAATTGGCGTGTACAAGTGACAACATAACTATTATCTGCTTTTCCCCTTTTCTCAGCCCAGTCAGGTTTCATGGCGTTGCAATTTCTTCTTATTGACATGCAGTACTGTAAATAACCTATCAGAGCAGACAGCAGATGGGCAGGCCTATAATACATTTCATTTGAGATCAGTTTTTATTGATGCAGATGCTATGACTGAACATACACTCACTTGTGACTATGCAGGTTAGAGAGTTAGAAAGTTAAACATAATTTTTGTGGGTTTTTTTCATATTTATCAAGTGCAGTAAAAGGGGGGGAGAAATATTCTTGCGGTTAAATCATTGAGACATACAGTGAGCAAATGAATAAATAAATAAATTCAAGACCATAATCTGAATAAATGCACAAGAACCTTCTATATTAACCCTTTAAGACCTACCATAGAACCAAGTCCGCAAGTTGATATACATCAATACAAACATTATATTCCAAATTTTAATAATATGTATGCATTAAGTCCATACTAACTACATAAATTGCAAAAATGTGCAATAAACTACAAAAAATTTGAAAATTGATTTTGTTTTTTAACAACATATATTTCTAGTTAGAGAAATTTCAGAGGTCTATCCCTCAAAACTGTAAATGCAAATAAGTTGCACAAAATAGTTTCCAACCACAGGAAATTCATTTTGAATGTCTTTATAGTTTTATTTTTTGAGATACAACAATTTTTATATACTGGAGGAAAAACGAAAATAAATCCTACAATGCGAATATGCAAACCCCCCCCCCAAAAAAAACAGCATGTGCATCAAAATAAACAATTTCCAACAATGTAATTTGAGTTCTAAGTTTCCCAGAGACTATACAGAAAGGCATAAACTCAAACATTAATTTTAAAAACAGCAGCATAGCTTTGTTTTCCGCGAAAATGACGTCCCTTCCGTTTTCGGGCAGGTAATGGCGAACATCAGATAGATTGTGGTGACGTTTATTCCAACGTAGGAAGTGTTATGAACAGCTGATCAGTTGGCAAAGCGTGTTTCTGGAATATTGTGTTTTTTTTGCTGCAAATGCTTTTTACGCAATTTTTGCAAAGACATATTTTGAAGGAAACCGTGACGTAGGAAGAGCTGAATGCATAAGATTTAAGTACAATTCCTCTGGTTTCATATATTCATATACTTTTCAGTTAGCTGTGAATAAGACCCAAGATACTTTAAACAAATTTGATAATTGTATTCTTTAAAGGCTATACTCTGTGTAAAAAAAGGGGTGGGGGTGGATCATTTAACTTGTCCGAGTATAATATGATGACATCACTTCCTGTTTTGAGAATTAGCATAGCAGCCATGTCAAGTATGTGCTGAACACAATTTGCTTTCATCTGCATTGAAGCTTCATGGAAGTATTGGCTAAAGTTAGTTTATTTTACATGATATGTTAGATATTAAACCTGAAGTATTTTATTGACAGGTTAATTCACGACGTAATGGTACCACTTATTGTTAATTTGAGTTAGGAGTGCAGATGCTAACTATTTTTGTATTTTTTTAAAATTGTTTATTTGACGTTTTCATCAGAATATCTGTGAAGAATAGATTAAGATTCAGTAGATGTTTAGTCTGTGACTCTGCATTTTTATTGGATCTGGTTTATCTAGGTGTTTAGACAGTGTTCTACACTCCCTGAAACTCCTACTAATTTGGCCCAACAAAGAAAAAAGCATATGTATTATTGCTTTTTTAATAGTATCCCTACCTAAATTTGTCAACAGGCACAGACACACACAAACACCCAACCACAGAAGCTTTAATTAATTGTTAACCTCAATATGAATTTCACCCTTTACATTCATGTTCTCTAGGCAGAAACAGATTTTATCACATCGATTTATTGTGAGAAACAATACACCCATATTAAGATTAAAATACTGAGGACAACCAAAATGTTACAACACATTTAAGGCAAATGGTCAGTTTCTGTTTTCTGTTTGCCCCTGTCTCTGTTTCTGTGTCTGTGTGTGTCTGCCCATTGCTTTCAGGAGCAGGAGCTCAAATTAGGTCAGTTTTTTACAATGGCAGCATTCATTTTTTTTGTTTGTTTTTGTTTTGTTTGTTTGTTTTCTCAGGTAGCCTTTAAGGATGAATTCACAAAAAATCATCTTCTGCAACTCCTTTGAATGTTAGAATTTGTAACTTCATTTCTTGTGCATTCTTTTGGTTGAGATCCAAAAGTTTCAACTTGAGGGGAGAAAAGATCTGGTGAGGCGAACAATCCAGCAAGTTACAATTTCTCTAAGATAACATTTTGCCATGATAATGCTCTTAAAAAAAATCTATTAGCCATACTATTGTTTGATAAAAGATTTAAGATTTTAGCGACCCTAAATTATTACTGTTGGAGACAAAATGTGAAATGAATTCAACCGATTAAGTGATTAATTTAAATAACCCAAATTATATTAATTCTATTCATTTATAGTGAGCCGACCCATGATTGCCTTCTTTGTGTTTCTCTCTGGTTTCAGCAGAATTATGTAACATTTGGGTCCAAACAGTGCCACCAATAGCCCGAAACTTGAAGCCAAAATGGCAAATACTTCCACTGCATCTGCATATTTACCTGGAGAGTTGACATAAGCAGGGACAAAGGCCACCCACACGGCACAGAAACTTAGCATGCTGAATGTGATGAGTCGGGCCTCATTGAAATTATCTGGAAGATTCCTGGCTAGAAATGCTAGCAAAAAGCTAAGGACAGCCAGCACACCAATGTAACCCAGTAACACTGCAAAGCCAATTGTAGACCCAACAGCACACTCATACACTATCTTGTCATTTTGGTATTGCATGTTTTTATGTGGAGCTGGAGAGGAAGAGACAAGCCAGGCAGTACAGATTCCTGCCTGAATACAAGTAAGAGCCAGAACTGTCCCTCTCTGTTGCATCGACCCAAACCACTTAAGAATGGTTCCCCCTCCTGGCTTGGAGGCTTTGAACACAGCCAGAACAACCATAGTTTTCACCAGGATACATGAGACACAAAGCACAAAACTGATGCCAAATGCTGCATGCCTCAGCTGGCATGTCCATACCCTGGGTCTTCCGATGAATAACAGTGAACACAGGAAGCATAGTTTCAGTGATACTAAGAGCAAGAAGCTCAGCTCTGAATTGTTTGCACGTACCATGGGTGTACGTCGATGATAGAAAAAGATCCCTAAAACAACTGCACAGATAAATGTGCCCAACAAAGAGGCAGTTGTCAAACAAATACCAAGAGGCTCATGGTAGGAGAGGAACTCTGTCTTCTTAGGAACACAGTGGTCATTCTGAGGGTTTGACCAAAAATCTTCTGGACAACTGGTGCACTCCAAGGAATCTGACAACAATAGGAAGGCATATAATCAATGATATCAATTGTATATAACTATTTATAATTTCTCAAAATTAAAATAAAAATATCCTTGAATTACAAATACCCACTGTTGTTTTTGCTGATTTTTCCCTTTGAACATGGAATGCAAGTAAAACAGCACTCTGGTTGTCCTTTGTTTCTAGCCATCCGGGTGCCTGGAGGACAGCTCTCACTACACACTGATCGGGGTGGCTAGAGAAAGACAAACTGATTACATACAAGGTTCAATATACACTACTTCACTCAGTATTTTTTTTAAAAGAAGTTATTTAGAAAAGTAAAAATAACCTTTCCTGATTCAAAATTCCAGAACATTTTGTCTTCATCAATGGTGAGTTCTTCACTTTTAAAGCCTGACCTTTTAACCTCACCAACATTCTGAACTTTAATTTGTCCATCAGGTAGGTGTAACCAGTTCATGACATCATATATTGGCAATGCATCACCATTTTCATCAAAGGATACTTGATCACCAAATGGAGTGGTGAAGTTGACATTTTGTAAATAATGTATGAGCTAATGAAGGTTAATGGAAAAAAAGAAGGAACAGCATCAAGGTAGACTGTAATTCAGAATGTTGTTTCATCTAATTTTTCTTAATTATTTAAAAAAAAATACTACTTCTACCATTTCTTTTATTTTGGAAAGAAAATAATGGAAATTCATTGCAAACATATCAGTGCCCTTATAGAATAATGGACCTTTTTCAATAACAAAAACTTCAGTGACACAGTAGCTTTTCAAACAAAAATGTATAAATTGATACCATACCTGCCATGGTTCCATTGTTTGCAAAGTAGCACAGCTGTGCCCTCTGAAGGGTCCTGTTCCTGGCTTGCAATGCAACATGTCATTAAGAGCATATGCGAGAGAATACACGGCCTTGTACACATTGTAGTCAGGCCTGAGATTAGAAAGATCAAAAAACTCAGTGTCCACATTTTCAATATGCTCCTGCCCAGTGCATAGCGCTCCTCCACCTTCCAGCCAGCCTGCAGGAGCTGGTGCAAATCTGCACTGAAATGTGAATTCCCAAAACTGATTTACCTGTAATGGAATAAAAGTATTGAGAGATAATAGAAAATATTTATTTATTTCATGTCTCATTCTCATTCATTTTAGATATACTTTCAAATTATATTTATTTCAGAATTATTACCAAATTATTGTTGTATCTTCCATTGTCACTTTGGTCTGGGTGTATTTTTAACAGGAATTCCCTCAGCCCTGGTAATTCGCCTCTGCGGATGGCAATGCCCAATGTGCCACGCAGGTACGGAGTGAGGTGGGCTGTTTGGAGCACTGATGCTGTTGTCCATGTTTCACTTGCAATCCATTGGCGACCTATCACATTCTGCTTCGCTACCTATGATAATAAATTTAGAATACAAAATTTATGTAGGTTCTCACTATAGCTATTAAGTTATCAAGTTATTGATATGAAGTTAGTTAAATAAACAATGTTTATTTTTCTTGCACATTTGGGGCATTTTGATAACATAAAACTGATTAAGTTTCATTGTGATGTTTCTGCTTTTTAATGTTATCAGTTTAATCTAATTATTAGAATACCTATTTTACCTTCAATGGCAGTCATTTTTGTCTAGACAAATAAAGTACAATGCTGCAATAAAAATTATCTATGTGAACATTTTTTTATTTCCAACCTCTTCCATTAGTTGAATCAAGTGTATCTCATGTGCAAACACTATGACCACACGAGCTGTTGATGTCTTTATCAAATGTACAATCCTCTTCAGTTCACTTGGGTCACTGTCCCAGGGCAAAATCTCCAAGTAGGCCAGACAACCATCACCAGATTTAGCCAGGTCAGATTGGAAGGATTGGGCAACATGGAGTCCGTAATCATCATCACTGACTAGAAGACCTATCCAAGTCCAGCCAAAGTGTTTTAGAATCTGAATCATAGCACGCACCTAAGTGGATATGAGATGAGTGTATTATTTTAAAAAAATTATAAATATACATCTGAAACCAATTAATGCAACCTCTATAATTTATCTTATTCATTAAATACATCAAAGTCATTAGAAATAATTTCAAAGTCCTTTCCTGAAACTATGGTATATTTCATTTAACTTGGTAATTATGTTTTACCTGGAAAGCATCACTTGGGATGGTTCTGAAAAAAGTTGGAAAACGCTGACGATCACTGAGGCAGGAGCATGTGGCAAAATAACTCACCTATTACAAATATACAAGAGACATATTAACACATCATACAAGTAAAAGCCAGTCCAAATGCTATTATAAGTACCGCCAAAATGTACCGCAGGGGATCAATACTACACTTAAATGAAACGCACAGTGCAAGCATAAAAATATGAAACTTAAAACTTACAATAGGTATATTGTATAAACTTAGCACACTGGAAATAGCAATAGAAAATGTTGAGTAGTGATCACCAACAAGCCCAAGGACTGGAGGGATCCCTGAACAGTTCTCCTGAAGCAGAAACTGCTCCTCCTGGCCACTGGCTAGTGATAAGGCACCGCTGAGTGCAACAACAAGGGCACCACAGTTGTCATAAAGACTGTATCCAAGAGTCACATTAGGTAGCAAATTTAAATTCTTGTTGATCTCTTCAATAGCAAATACCATAGTCATTGCATTCCTGAACCCTACAATATCAAAGCTAACAAACAAGCAAACGTTACATCAGTATTGTTCACTAAAAGAGATCTGCAAACATGAAAACAAGCAGAGATATACAAAATGAACCCTAAAACGAGTGTATGTTAATACAAAATAAGAAGTGTAATTAATATTTTGACATATGTACGCTAAGATAGAGAAGTTATCTTGTATATAATTTAGATCTGTCATGAATATTTTGAATAGTTATTATTTGTACATGTCTCTGCTGATGTCATATTTGTGTGACACTTACCCAGTGCAGTGAGGCTGTTGAGGCTCTGAGGTAAATGTTCTCTCTGGGTAGACAGAAGTGTAATGGACCTCAAACAACCCACCCAGTACCACATCGCCAGGCTTGTGCATTTCATTGAGATGAAACTTTCTTTCTAACTTACAAGATAAAGAAAGTGAAGAAGACACAAAGCATAAAAAGAAAAAAGGGAAAAAAAGTAAGACCACAGAGACACCTGTGAAAATATATGTGACCTGGAAGCCCCCCATAACTGATCTCCACCTTCAGTATCATTGTTTCTTTTATAAGGTCTCTCTACTTTATATGAGGGGTGTGTTATCCCTTTAACATGCTTTGCGTCATTGTTTAATTTTTTTCAGCACTCTCAAGGGTATGGCTGCAGACATGTCACCACACTGAAATAAATATGAATATATAAACATAGTCTGAATGCTGTGCTGTATTAATAAATGTATAAAAGCACTGAACCATATATTTTGTAAAATGTACTTTAAAGATTTTGTACTTTTGGATTTGGAAAATGAATGTCAATCTTGCTTAATATTCAAATACATTTTTGATGTGTTTAATGACAAATAGCCTAGCAGGGTCTTTTGTTTGAGTATATCCTATTTGTATGAATAAACCTACATATATGTACTGGTGCTATCACTATATTTGACTGTTTGACTATCAGGTATTTGTTTTAGTAGAGCATGTCACTTAGGAGGTAGAGCAGATCACCTACTCATCGGAAGGTTGATTTGATCCCTGTCTGTTTTAGTATGCTTGCAAAATACCCTTGGGCAATATACTAACCCCAAGTTCCTCCCTGATGCATCCACCGGAGTATGAATGAGTATGCATGTGAACTTTAGATGGAAGAGGCATGTTGTGTCTCTGTACCACTCTGAGCTTTGAGTGCTCAGAGTAGGAAAGCACTATTAGAACTATATAAGAACCAGCCCATTTTCCTTTATCATTAGACAGATCGATATTTGGTTTAATTATCAGGAAGGGATATGTAACTGGTTCCATTTGCTTGTCTGTCAGTCAGTTTTTAGGGACATTTTCAAACTTAACAATGATATACTAGGCATTGGGGGACATGACTTCACTCTTCATTGTTAGAGTCCGAGGATAGAATTGACCTTGAAAAAACTTTCAAGAAAACAATGAGTTTCTTGAAATTTTTTTCACAGATAAAAAAAAACTTTACACACTTTTAAATACAACACCCAATGTATCACAATGATGCCACAATGTTTTGCAAATTTACCCACTGCATAAATATATCTTAAAATATCAATATACAAGCCAAATATACCAACAAACCAGTTCTGTGGTAAAGAAATGTAACTATTTAATATGTAATCATTCAAATCATAGGTCAAAGGTCAGACACCAGCAAAATAAAAACAACATAAAACAAAGTTTTAGCATAGACCTTGGCCTTCACGGAGAGTTGTGCTCTCTGAGTGCTCTGACTAACCATATCTTAAGAAAGAAAGGGGTTATTCTAAGTAAATACCATTCCTGTGGCAATGGAATCATTCAAGTTGATATGTCCTCATTTAAAATTAACATTTTTCATTGCTGAAAATTTACATTTAAAATGGTGAAAATGAGTCACGTTTTGATATAGTCATCTTTTTCTAAAATCAAAGCATATGTGAATTCTGTGACAATAGGTTCTCTTCTTTGAAAAGCCTATACTGACAGATATATATCTGTCATCTATATCGATATATATAGATGTAGACCATAATAAGTGGGCTTGATAAAAGCTGTGAAGTATTCAACCAGTTAACTATTATAATATCATTAGAGACGTAAAACAAGAGGTCACTGCACTTAAAGAATCATGGGTGGAATTCATTAGAAGAATTCTGACCATGAAGATTGTAGATGTTTACATAACAAGCTAAGGAGCAGCCAAAATTGACACACAGCGCCAATAATGTTGTGCACTGAGAGATATTCAGAGACGTTTTCAATGATGTGGGAGATATGCATGGGTACTTGTTATAGTACAAATAAAGTACAAATAAACAATACTAATGTGTAAAACTGTATAAAAACATTTAAAGGACAAATTATGGCTGCATTAATATGAATATATTTTTGGTCATTATCCTACAGATGTTGGTTTTATGGCTTGGTGGTCTCTCGACCCATGATTGCCTTCTTTGTGTTTCGCTCTGGTTTCAGCAGAATTATGTAACATTTGGGTCCAAACAGTGCCACCAATAGCCCGAAACTTGAGGCCAAGATGGCAAATACTTCTACTGCATCTGCATATTTTCCAGGAGAATTTACATAAGCAGGGACAAAGGCCGCCCACACGGCACAGAAGATCAGCATGCTGAATGTGATGAATTTGGCCTCATTGAAATTATCTGGAAGATTCCTGGCTAGAAATGCTAGCAGAAAGCTAAGGAAAGCCAGCACACCAATGTAACCCAGTAACACTCCAAAGCCAATTGTAGACCCAACAGCACACTCATACACCACTTTGTCATTGTAGTATTGGGTGTTTTTATGTGGAGTTGGAGAGGAAGAGACAAGCCAGGCAGTGCAGATTGCAGCTTGAATGGAAGTAAGAACCAGAACTGTCCCTCTCTGCTGCATAGCACCAAACCACTTAAGATTGGTTCCCCCTCCTGGCTTGGAGGCTTTGAACACAGCCAAAACAACCATAGTTTTCACCAGGATACATGAGACACAAAGCACAAAGCTGATCCCAAATGCTGCATGTCTCAGTTGGCATGTCCAAAGTCTGGGTCTTCCGATGAATAACAGTGAACAAAGGAAACACAGCTTAAGTGACACTAAAAGCAGAAAGCTCAATTCTGAATTGTTTGCACGCACCATAGGTGTGCTGCGATGATATGTGAAAATTCCTAGAACAACAGTACAGATAAATGTGCCCAACAGTGAGGTGGTTGTCAAGCAGATTCCCAGGGGCTCATGGTAGGAGAGGAACTCTGTTCTCTTAAGAACACAGTGATCTCTCTGGGGGCTTGACCAGAAGTCCTCTGGACAACTGGTGCACTCTAAGGAATCTAAAAAAATGGGAAGAATTGAGATTGATTTCTTCATTTGGTTTCACACTGTTTTGTCATATTATGAGTGTCTTGTACAATAAAATGGACAGTCAGTATTTTCATCTAGTAATATTTTCATTGATGTGTAACTGGAAACCACTCTCACAATAAATTTGACTTGGTGTTAATAAAAGCCACCATAGGACCGTACACTGCTAAACACAAAGAAACATCACACATCTCATGCATTATAATGTCAAATGATACAAACCAGTGTTATTGCTGATCTTTCCCTCAGAGCAAGGGATGCAGTCATAGCAACACACAGGCTTTCCCCGCTTCCTTGCTATATGTGTTCCTGGAGGGCAGTTATTACTGCAAACTGATGTAGTTGGCTTAAGGGTAAAAATTATTATTTTTAAAAAGTTATTTAACACCAATTATACTTGTATTGTGTACTCTACTATCCTTTTGTTTGAAAGCAAATTGTATGAATAGGAAAATTTACCTCTTTTGATTTAAAGTTCCAGAAGATTTTGTTTTCATCAAGTGTGACTTCTTCACCTTTGAAAACTGACATCTTAACCTCACCCACATTCTGAACTTTAGTGCTTCCATCAGGGAGCCACAGCCAGTTCATGATATCATAGATAGGTAAGGCATCACCATTCTCGTCAAAAAATACTTGATCACCAAATGGAGTTGTGAAATTGACTTTTTCCAAGTAATACATCAGCTATAAAAGTGATAGATAAAGGCTTATGAACTTTTTTCTTCTTTTATACACCAATTATTGGAGCAACCTGGAATTAAGTCTATTACTTAGTTCATCAATGTACAATCATACAGTAATTAATAATAAAACTTCTTGCTATTGTCTCTTTAAAGCAGCGAGACATGAAACTATATTATTAGTTGCTACACAATTATCTTTCTTCCATAAAGTTTTGGTAAAATATGAATGACTGGAGTATAAAATGACATCAAACCTGCCATGGCTCTAATTTTTGCAAAGTGGCACAGCTGTGCCCAATAAAAGGTCCTCTCCCTGGAACACAGTGCAGCATGTCATCAAGGGCATGTGCAAGAGCATACACAGCTTTATAAATATTATACTCAGGCCTGAGTTCAGTCACATCCAAAAGTTCAGTCTCAGCATTCCTAAGCTCTTCTTCTCCAGTGCAAAGTGTCCCACCATCTTCCAACCAGTCTGCTGAAAATCTACAGTGAAATGTATCTTCCCAAAACTGCTTCACCTAAAATGCACAACAACCAGAGAAACAAAAACAGGTCAACAAAAATAACCTACAGAAAATTTGACTTGAAGTTTATTAAGTTACCCTCTCACCATGTTGTTTGCACTATTCTGTTCTGCGGGATTAATTTTTAACAAGTAGTCTCTAAAGCCTGGTATTTCTCCTCGTCGGATGGCAATGCCTAGTGTTCCACCAAGGAATGGCATAAATTCAGGGGTATGGAGTCCACCAACTACTGTCCAAGCTTCACTGGCAATCCACTGCAAGCCTGTCACATTTTGTTTCACCACCTGTGGATTGCATTGCAGTTATGTTTTTACTCTCTTGTAATACATTACCTGCAATGTGTTTTATGATATTTTCCCTAACCTCTGTCATGAGATGAATCAGGTGTATTTGATGTGCAAACACAATGACAACACGAGCTGTGGATCTGGCCATCAGATCCACAATTTTCTTATATTCATTTGGATGATCTTCCCAAGGTAAAATCTCTGAGTAGGCCAAACAACCTCCACTTAATTGAAGAAAGTCAGACTTGAAGGATCTGGAAACATGGAGGCCATAATCATCATCACTGACTAGCAGACCTACCCATGTCCAGCCAAAGTGTTTTAGAATCTGAATCATAGCACGGACCTACATGAAAAGAGATTGAAGTTGTTAGTGTACATGTGTAAATATTCTTTTAGTGAAAATTTGCTTGTTCATGTCTAATATCAAAAAGTTTATTTAATGAAAGTTTAAAAAATAACATTAAATAAAAGTTAACTTCTCATGATAACACTTTTTACCTAAATACATTGTATTTTTATTTAAAGAAATACTTTTTGCAAATATGCAAAATTTTGCAAAAAGTATTTCTTTGACTGGTTTGGCTCATGTCTAAGTTTTCTGTCAGTAATTAACCTCAGATAAAAACTTAATTCTTATTGTGCAACTTTCTACCTGGAAAGCATCACTTGGGATTGTTCTAAAGAAGGATGGAAACCTCTGTCGATCACTCAGACAGGAGCAAGTGGCAAAATAACTCACCTGTCAAGAAGCATATATTATAAAATCCAATTGTGCAAATTGCAAGGGACATTCAGATTATTTTATTTAACAATGTAGATCAATTAAAATGCAGTATATCAGAAGCACACAAAAAAGTAGAATTGGGAAACTCACAATAGGAAGCTTGAATAAACCAAGAACACTTGAGGCAGCAATAGAAAATGTGGAGAAAGGATCACCCACAATCCCCACAACTGAAGGGGTCCCTGAACAATTCTCCAGAAGCCAAAATTGCTCCTCTTGACCGCTGGCTAATGACAATGCTGCACTGAACCCAATCTCAAGTGTAGCACAATTGTCATAAAGGCTGTATCCCAGAGTCACATTAGGAAGTATCTTCGAATTCTTGTTTATCTCATCAATAGCAAAGGCCATGGTCATGGCATGTCTGAATCCAGGGGTGTCCAATCTAAAATACACAAAAAATGAAAAAGAGTGACTAAATTATAAGCAATAATAGTAATGAGAGAATTTTGTCAGCTACATGGATGAGACTTACCCACGGCAGTTAGGCTGATCTGGCTCTGAGGTGAACGTCCGCTCAGGGAATACAGAACTGTAATGGACTTCAAATAACCCTCCCAGAATTACATCCCCAGGCCTGTGTATGCCATTGAGATCAAATTTCTTTTGCAATTTACAGGATGAAGGTGGAAAGGAAGACTCCAGAAAGGAAGACAATAAAATCATTAACAGACAGATAAACATGAGCAAATATCTGACAAGAAAGCCCCCCATAACTGCCTCATTCTTTTTTATTTGTATTCATGGCTCCTTGATTTTATATAGAAGCCTATGTCAACCCCTTTCATCACTTTTTGATCCACACCCACCAGGGCATGGACAGTAATGTGGGATGGGCATAATAGAAATTTCATAATAACTGTGCTACATCAGCAGGTATTGTGAAAAATCCAAGCTCTTAGCAATATTACACATTTTATAAATAAGGTTAATTTTTAAAAACTGTTGCTTTGAAAATCAGAAGACTATTCTTAATCTACCTGTATTTCTTTGAAAATACATGCCAGTCACTGGTTATATAAATCCTATGATTTACAGTTCACAAGAAAATATAAGGCTCTCACCTTAGGTGGCACTTAGGTGGAAAGAGATCTTTAGAAAACATTTTCTTGCATTGCCAAGGAAATGCACACTACATTGAATTTTGAAAATGATGACATACTTATTTTCAGTAAATTAAAAAAAATACTTTATTTACTACTACATTTACTGCAATTCCCCTATGCAAGGGCGTAGATTTGATTTTGGCATTGGTGGGGACAGATGATTCAACCATCGAACAGTGCCTTGTTTCTTTTTTTTCCCTTTTTCTCTTTGGTTCTTGATAAAAAAAAGGAGAAATATACTTGCCTACATATCCTATTCTACATGCTTTTAAACCATTTAAAATTACAATTCATGGTTTTATATGTGAATTAGATAATGTTAAATTACTATTAAACAAATGGCTGACTAAGTATTTTAGACTTTAGTTTACTTCAGTCATATTCCATATAAATCAGGTATCATACAAAAATAAAAATGGCTTCAAATACAGTCATGACAATAAAAGAATATGACTTTAAGGACTTAACAACATTACTTCAGTTATACTGCACCAACATCTCTGATACATTAGCACTAAGGGAACACTGAATGACCTGGTGGTTTTTGTCCTTAAAACTACTCATCTAAGATTACCACAAAGTAAAAGATCTCTCAGCAAAATTATGCAACATTTTAGGCACCATTGCCCCGATCAGATCAGTGAGCTGAGATGTTTTATTCTAAACATGAACTACTGTTACAGCAACAGACATGGACTACTGGTGTCCCACACCACAACTCAATGTCCGCTATGTGAAGGAGCCAAACACATGCCTTCTCCTCTCGTTAACTGAGATAAACTGCTGGCATATTGGTTTTACATCTATACTGTCCAGTGTCTCCTGGTGGACATACAGCAGCATTGTTTAATCTCATTTGAGTCATTGTTGACCTTACCCATCTTTTTAGTCTTCTGAGAGCACTGAAGCTTCTTTTAGCCTCAGTACATGCGTTTTATCCTTTATCCTAAAATTATTACTATGTGCTTGATGTAATAATAATGGATTGGATTTATATAGCGCTTTTCAAGGCACCCAAAGCGCTTTACAATACCATTCTACAATACTATTCATTCACTCTCACATTCATACACTGGTGGAGGCAGCTACAGTTGTAGCCACAGCTGCCCTGGGGCAGACTGACAGAAGTGAGGCTGCCATATCGCGCCATCGGCCCCTCTGGCCAACACCAGTAGGTAAGTAGGGTAAAGTGTCTTGCCCAAGGACACAATGACCAGGACAGAGAGCCCAGGGATCGAACCGGCGACCTTCTGGTCACAGATGCGATTTCCAACCCCCTGAGCCACGGTCGCCCAACATGTACCTCACCTTTGGCCCTGGCTCTTCCCCTCTGACTGCACTAGGACATATTGCCACCTGATAAAATAACACATTGATTCGTGCCATATAAAAAGTGAGACATGTCAATTCAGATTCTTTGTCAAATATACACTAATAAATCAATTTACTTCAGCAGCCTAACAATTGTCATGATAATAAATACTAGTTAATCTATAGCACCAAATCATCGGTCAGTCGCCTGTGACCTCGCATCTTCACCTCTGTCTGAGCTACAACATGGCAGAGCTGCCTCTGTCACCTGATAAATAACAGTGAGACATTCCAAATACATGCAGTCACATATGTGCTTCAAATACAGTAATGAACCAATAAGTCATCATCCAATTTCACCTGTGATCTTGTATCACCATTATTTTCTATCACCTGACAAATAGGACATACCTGACAATAAGAATAAAATGTGGAGCTGCTTCAGTGTTTCTGTCAATTTGTGCAGATCTTGACTCATCAGTAATGTTTGTAGGGTGAGTGCATTTTTAAAACAATTTGTGTAAACTGCACTACAAGGCAGCACGGTGGCACGGTGGTTAGCACTGTTGCCGCACAGCAAGAAGGTCCTGAGTTCAATTCCAACACCAGGCCGGGGTCTTTCTGTGTGGAGTTTGCATGTTCTCCCCGTGTTTGCGTGGGTTCTCTCCGGGTACTCCGGCTTCCTCCCACCGTCCAAAGACATGCAGCTTGTGGGGATAGGTTAATTGAATAATCCAAATTGCCACTAGGTGTGAATGTGTGAGTGTGAATGGTTGTCTGTCCCTATGTGTTAGCCCTGCGACAGACTGGCGACCTGTCCAGGGTGTACCCCGCCTCTCGCCCTATGACAGCTGGGATAGGCTCCAGCGCCCCCCGCGACCCTGAAAAGGATAAGCGGAAGCGAATGGATGGATGGATGGATGCACTACAAGATGAAATATTTGCAAAATCATGACTACCTCATGATATTTTGTCTCAAAAATTAACCCTATGAATATGTCAGTACCATTAGGATGAAATTATTGTCTCACCAACATTTTAACGTTAGACATACAATTTTAACAGCCTCTGTAAACTAATATCCTGGCTTGCTCAAGGCTGCTGTTTTCTCTGACAGTTTCAATCAAAATTAGAAATGCTGCTCTGAGACTGAGAGAACTAATGCATGTTGTGCAGTTACTTTCCAAAACACGTTATTCATGGTTACATTTTTAGACTGATGTGGGCCAAAGCCTAGCACAGCCTGTAACATTATTATGACGGACACATTTTATGAGTGAACTTGGCTTTAAGTGACTTACAGGTTTCTTTGAAAAATACTTTCTTATATCCAGGTTCTTCCTTTTTGCTGCCATCCTCCTCTCCTCCTCGCAGCGCAGGCTTGCCGCTGCTAAAACTAAACAGAGCTCCTTGAAAGGCACAACCAGTCACATTGGCCATATTTGTCACATGAGGTAGGACTCCAATAGAGAACGTAATTTAACTCTATCTGCACCGCTGGGTGAATGAGACGTTGACAGATCGTTTTTTCTTTCTATCAGGTTTGTTTTTCTTTACTCGAAGAGATCAAATTATTGGTGGGGACAATTCAATAATCGCTGAATATTGGTGGGGACATGTCCCTTCCATCCATGCCAAATCTATGCCCTTGCCCCTTTGCAAAATAATCTAATCAAACTATAAAAATTCACCTCTCGCTCCTGGAGGCGGAATATCCTTCAAGCTTAGGACCTCTACCGGAGGCCTAGGAGCTTGAGGGTCTTGTGCAGTATCTTAGCTGTTTCTAAAACGACGCTCTTTTACCCAGCAATCTCAGATGTTTTTCCTGGGATCTGCTGGAGCCACTCACCAAGCTTGGGAGTCACTGCACCTAGTGCTCCAATTATCACTGGGACCACTGTTACTCTGACCCTCCAAATCTTCTCGAGTTTGACACTTCTTCAGCTTCTTGTTCTTTCTTCTATGTTGCTTTCATTTTGGATCACTATGTCTGTCTTTACAGCGGTCTTCTTCTGCTTGTCTACCACTACTATGTCCAGTTGGTTAGCCACCACCATTTTGTTTTTTGTTTTTTTGGGGGGGGTTTTGGTTTTTGGTTTGTTTGGGGGCTTTTTGCCTTTCCCCGTGAAGCGGGGAGCCAGTTAGCAGGAGATAGCGCTGAATGGAATGTCTCTACACTCTAAAAAGTGTATTTCAGCAGTAGTTGAAGTTACGTAAAGTTCAGAGTCAGTTTCATTAAGATTTCTGCTTTAGTGGAGCCAGTCTAAATTTGTGGAGTATATCAACTTGTTATTACGTGTTGTTCCCTCAGTACACATGTAACCTGCTATTCTCATTAGAGTCAACCTGCATCAATTAGGTTTCTCGTGATGCAGTGCGTCTGATGTCATGACGTCTCCCCCTTCTCCAGAATTTTCTACCTGTGGTTGAGAACAACAATTTGAGAGGCACTTGGCTGCATGCAGGACCTCGTGAGCAATTTGGTCAATAAGGTAACGAAGATATTACTTTTTCCATAGTCCTTGAAGGTAAGTCAAATGTAGAACACATATTTTAATATATTAGATATAAAAATATTCCAACTGTATTGTTAAGTTTTTAAGTGTTTAGTAAA